CAGCGCGCAGCTGTCGTGGTTAGCTGAGTGGCGAAGCACAAACCACCCAGTTGGTCTTGTGGTCCTCGTCTCCTCGGCGACACCCAGCGCGCTTCACCCGAGCGCAGCGGAGGGACCCGAGTTCGAGAAGCAACGAGCGGGGTCGTAGTGTCGTGTTGAATCGAAAATTTGGTAGTGTTAGTGTACCCTGCACACGGCTTCGGGTAATACTCGGCAGACGAGTAGAAGGCCGTGTGGCAGATGAAAAAGAAAGTTGTCGTAAGATGCGAGCCAGAAAAGGATCAATTTATATTCACTTGTTTCTTGACACCAAAGCCAGATGGCTCAAAGCTATTTATTTTAAATCTTACGGGATTAAACAAATTTCTAAAAGCTCCTCATTTCAAGCTCGAGGACATAAGAACGGCGATGAAATTAATTCAGCCCGGATATTTATATGGCTAAACTTGATTTGAAAGACGCTTATTACGCTATACCGATGCAAAGAGTCACAGGAAATATCTTCGATTTTTCTTTCAAGACAGACTCTATAAGTTTTCTTGTCTTCCTTTCGGCGCGGATTGCGGTCCTTACGTATTTACAAAGTTAATGCGATCGGTTGTCACATTTATGAGAGAGAAGGATATGCTTTCGGTCGTCTACTTGGACGATTTTTTTTTGTTGGGAAAAAATTACGAGGAATGCTTAAAAAATGTAGATTTTACAGTAAATACCCTCCAGTGGCTCGGATTTATAATTAATTTTACAAAAAGTCAATTAATTCCGTCCTTGTTTGTACATTCCTTGGTCTATCAATAGACTCCAAAAGGATGATAATTGAGCTACCAAATGATAAAAAGTTGGCTACTTTGAAATTAAAAAAAAATTTTAGTCAACGCAAAGAATGTACTATTCCAGAATTTTCAGCATTTATCGGTACGCTAAATTTCTGTTGTCAAGCGTCTATTTACGGTTGGAATTACGTGAGAGAATTCGAGAGAGAGAAAATTAAAGCTCTCAAGCGTAATAATAATAATTATGAGGCTAAAATGACAATTAACAAAGAATTAAAGAACGAATTCCAATGGTGGATATCGAAAATTCCAATGCTTGAAAAGCCAATCGATATGCTTGATTTTTCGATTGAAATATTCTCTGACGCATCTCTTTCTGGGTGGGGTGCGCACTGTAAAGACGATAGAGCGCATGGATTTTGGAATCCCGAAGAAAAGAGATGTCATATTAATCTCTCAGAAATCAGAGCTGCATTTCTAGGGCTTCAGTCATTTGCAAGAAATTTAGAAAGTTGTAGCATCCTTTTACGAATCGATAATTCTACCGCAATTTCTTATATTAATAGGATGGGTGGTGCATTCAGTAAAAAATTGAGCTTAGCGACCAAAGAAATTTGGACATGGTGTGAGGAACGAAAGTTATGGATTTTCGCTTCTTACATAAGCTCAACAGACAATGCGATAACAGATTTTGAATCTAGACGTCTAGAACCAGAGACGGAATATGAACTAAACAAAGCGAGCTTCTTACACTTATGCCGCGAATTTGGAGATCCCGAGATAGACCTGTTCACCTCTCTCTCCAACGCAAAGTGCTCACACTACGTGTCATGGAAAAAAGATCCTGACTCGATCGCAGTTGATGCGTTCACAATTAATTGGCAGAAATATTTCTTTGATGCATTTTCTCCTTTCTCTATTATTCTAAGAGTAATACGAAAAATCAAACGTGATAAGGCAACCGGAGTACTTGTTGTTCCAAATTGGCCATCGCAGCCTTGGTACCCCCTTTTTAAAAATATGCTGGTGTCTGACATGATTATTTTGGAGCCAAAACATAAGTTAATACATTCTTCTAGTAAAGAACATCATCCTCTGTGGCAGCAGCTTTCTCTGGCAGCCGGAATCTTGTCCGGCAAGCTTTTGCCTTAAAAGGTATGTCAGATGATGCAATTGACATTGCCTTATCGTCAGTGGCGGATTCTACGATTCGTCAATACAAATGCCTATTGAGAAAATGGTGTTCGTTCTGCCAGGATAAAAACGTCAACAGTTTTGTGCCAAACATGTCAGAGATTCAAAATTTTTTAACGGAGGAAATTAAAAAAGGTGCTTCATATACGACTGTTCATTCGTATAGATCAGCGTTGTCTCTTCTTATCGGGCCTCAAGTTGCGGAAGATCCAGGAGTTAAGTGTATCTGCAAAGGCGCAGCAAGATTACGTCCTCCAAAACCGAAGTATAAAAGCACGTGGGATCCACAGATTGTGCTGACTTTTTTGTCATCGTGGCCACCAAATGAAGATCTCTCTCTTGAAAAGTTATCTTACAAGACTGCTATCTTGCTACTAATGGTCACAGGTCACCGATTGCAAACAATTTCAGAAATAAAGATGGAAGAAATTGACGTTCAGCAGGAGAGAATCGAAATAAGAATCTCATCTGAGATAAAAACTTCAAAACCAGGAAGGTTACAGCCACTCTTAAGATTACCTTTTTTCTCGGATAAAAGGATTTGTCCTGCAGATGCATTAAAGGTATACATGGAAAAAACGAAACAATTAAGAAATGACAAAAATCTCTTCATTTCGTTCAGAAAACCATATGGTTCTGTCAGCTCTCAAACTATAAGTAAGTGGATCAAAGATAAGGTTTTAAATCCAAGCGGCATTAACACAGAAATATACTCTGGATATAGCAAACTTCACGCTTCAACATCAGCTGCAAGGCGCAAGGGCGTAAACGTGGACATCATAAGAGCTACAGCCGGATGGACAAAAAATTCACAAACTTTCACTAAATTCTATAATTTAGAAATCATTGAGAACAAAGATGACTTTGCTCTAGCGGTTTTAAGTTAATTGAAATTTTGTATTTCTTATTGTTTTTTGGTGCGATTAAGCACTTGAGCTCTTATAATATAAGTTTATTACATTTTTATTGTAATGTAAGAGTTAAAATGATGTTAACAATTATCTCTTAGTTGATATTATTTTTCAATACACAAAAAGAAAAAAAAAATTATATAAATTTTTTGCCATTTTTTCTTGTTGGAGAAGCCGTAACTAAGCTTTAACCACTACATCGTGATATCGAGGAAGAGGCACGAAATACAATTTAACGATTAAACAAACTTACCAAGTGAAGTTCAATCGGAATTGTATGAGAGCCTCTTCTGAAGATATCAGTCTCACCCGGAACCCCGTTGAAATTTTTCAACCCATTAATTTAGTTACGGCTAGCTTTGAAGAATGAGAAGAAAGGTTGATACACCAACGGCCGCGCCACCTCCCGCGAGTCTATCTTTTCTTTTCTCCTATAGCTATAAACATGTGGCGACACCGGCCTCGACGTACTGCATCGTGATATCTTCGGAAGAGGCTCTCATACAATTCCGATTGAACTTCACTTGGTAAGTTCGTTTAATCGTTAAATTCATTCGAACGAATGAAAAGAAAAAAAATGCAGATATTTAGAGAGGATAGCAATATCTGGTACCAGGCGCATAGGGCCTCTACACTCCAGGGTAAAAATTCATCGTCCACGTGAAAAGAGGGGGAGAGAGATTTTGAGTTTGAGTTTGAGTTTGAGTTTGTTTATTTGATTGGAAGCCCATGTGAACCCCATGTGGCCCAGATGGTCAATAGTACATAGGTGTATCAACTATTATACATAGTGAGAGTAGGATATAAAAAAGACAAAAAATATTCACAGGGGCCAAAGATCAGAAAAACATTGTTAATTAAAACTAAGGGTAAGATTCTCTTTCTAGGGCCACAGAACCAGTTCGTTTATGAGTGGGGTTGGAATTGGCTTGATGTTTTAATAGAGGCAACGAGTAATCCAGTCGGCCTCGCAAGGCAGAATAAATGGTTGTGAAGAGATGCTCGATAATCGATGGATCTGTTGGTGAGGTCAATTTGAAATGGAAGTGAGTTGATGATGCGCGAATCAGTGATAAAATAGTATATTATGATACGTGTGACTTAAGCAGGCCATTATTGCACGGCACAGTTAGCACCCGATTGAGGGAGTAGAACAAACCGTATATAAGTATACAGCAGTATTCAAACTTGAAATTTCAGAGGAATTTTGTAAAAAGATGTTCCACGTAGAAAAAAACGCTACGGGTACATCGAAAATGTCCGTTTCTCTCATATTCTTCTAACGTCCAAGTTGGCAATTTTCGAGCTGTTTGCAATATAACAAGCTGAATTGTCTTTTTTTCAATTAAGTATAAATGTTGCATCGTGAATTCTATTATTTCATAATCATGATGGAAATGGTTTTGATTTATTCATAAGGTATTAACATTCATAGAATGTTAGGTTAATTTACCTCCAAGAAAGTATATATCACTATTAGTGGCATCTGTCTTTTTTAGTACTATATTTTGCGAAGTATATAATATCGACTGAGCACAGTACGCAACATATAGCGAGTCTGGCTTAGGCATCACCTTTAGTCACGAGTATGTAACATATTTACACGCAATTCTAAATTTGACTGACTTAAAATTCAAGTTTTTATTGGTACATTCATTTCTTTTCGATTTTTTCTGGGCCTTATTCAGGCGGAACAAAGTTTTGAAAAGATTGCTTAAAAATTTTGATCGACGTAATTTCGAAAAGTATATCAGTGCTTGCGATGAGATTTAATAATTAATTGATGAGAATATTAAAAAATGTCTGACCAAGTATTTTTTCTTAAAAATTAAGTGGATTGAATATATATTAACAAGCTTTCTACTCATTGTTAATGATTATAATGATTTGCATAACACTACCATATTAAAAATTATAAGTATAACAATCAAAAATTTCATAACAATGAATAAAAATATTTTCATATCGTGAGCTAATAATTTGAATATTTTTTACAACTATGATGATTAAAATATTTTCCAATAACTATTAATTAAAAATATACTAAATGTAATAATAAAAATCTATATGATACTAAAAAGTTCAATGACCAGTATTTCAATGCTAATATAGAAGTACTAACTTGTGTTTTTGATGTTAGTTGAATAACAGCTTTTCTCAATGCGAGTTTAGTGTCTGAATTTCCCATTGCTTTTGTATATTCATTGATAATCTGTAAAGGGTCAGAAAATTCATTGATACATTATACAGTCATTTAGTCATTGTACTCAGCAAGAAATGATTCAATGCACTGATCATGATAAAAATTAAGTTTTGTTTAATTGAAATGCTAATGGATTAAAAATTAATATTGATGTAAAGAATATTAAATTCAATTAATATCAATAAATTTATGAGACCAGATGGTTAATTTTAATGCATACCTCAGATAAATCTAATATTCTATGAAAACAGCTAATTACTTATGTATGTGTACATACAAATAAATAGTACAGTAAGTAATATCCAGATGCAAATAAATAGTAACCAATATCTACTTGTTTATTATAAATGATTATTTGTAATTTCATCAAAAACTACATAGAATTTAAGTCGTTGATATGAGTTTGTATTAACTTGCAAAGATATGAAAACTAACTGAGCACTTTGATAGCAGCATGCAGCAGTGTTGTTGCATATGTAAAGTGCTATGTACCATAGCCTAGCTCTTCTACACTTTTAGATGTATACAAAAAAATATTTGTGTCCCACGCGTAACGTACGATGAGCCCGTTAAATGAACGTTCTTAACCACTAAGTGAAAATATCAACTCTTTAGTTCATATAATTGAATATAATTGAATCCCAAAGATTAAACAATGTCCTCTAACTTTTTACGCAAAGTTAAAATTGAATTAATGTTCGTTAAAAAATTATCAACAGTTTGCGAGAGTGTTAAAATAATTAAGTCTGAAAAAATACTCAGTTACGAAGATGCTTCAAATAAAAGAAAAATAAATTGTTGTAATAATAGTTTAAAAATTGTTTTTCTTGGCTTGCCTGGCGTAGGTAAAAGTAGTATTATCAACAAAATAATTGGCAGACCGGTTAGTATATATATAATAATATTCAATATTTATACAAATATAATTCGATTCTGATAATTAATTCTGATTCAAGAATACAATTTTAGATGAATGAAAAAAATTTTTATGCACAAAATCCAAATATTCAAACAACCATATATTAAATTTAAATAAAGTTTATTTTAAACTTCTTAACCCCTGAAATGTATTATAAGTAGACGTTTTAATTTTTTTAAGATATTCAAGGCCTATTACTAGTCTTTTTATGAATTTAAAAAAAAAATAAAGATTACAGTTTGAATTCAGTTGAATAGAACAAAACATTCAAATAAAAACAATAAATCTCTGCTTTTTCTGTAAATTTTTTTTCTTATTTCATGTTGCTAAATTATTGTTAAGCAATTTAAAAGTGCCAAATAGATATTAAAAAAGCTCGTTAAATATTTTCATCATCATGCTATAATAATGAGATATAAAGCAAGTTTCAAGTTAATGTAACTTGCTTGATATCTCAATAAATTAATATTTGTGTTTAGATTCACAATAATATTTTAGTCAACATTTTTTATATAAATAGAACACTCTTCAACTGTACGATTTGTCATGAAAGTTAGTCAATTGGACATTTGATTTGTCTCTTGTTATTTGAACAATTTTTCCCATATCATTGAAAATTAATTTCAACTTTTTAGTATATGTGTATACTTCTATAATTGTATAATTTAGTATATTTTGATAATTTAGTATAGTTGCTTGTAGAAAAATATACTAAGAGTTAAATGATTATACCTTTGATTGCACTAAAAATCTAAAATGTTCTAACAATTTTGAAAGTAGCTGATGTGGCACAACTGGTTCCCTGAATGTTATACATAACAAAATTTAAATTAAAACCTATTAATTTTCAGTTAATACAAAGAAAATATTTTTTTGAAAAAGCTTTTCATAAGCTTGTAGTACAAATAAATCAGTACACTAAAGAAAAGCTTGTGAAAGTGGATATTATGTGAGCTATTAATTTTAATTCAACAATTGGTCCATAAATTATCATTATATTGAAATATGTAATTTTAGTAAAACATTTTGATGTCTTAATCAATGGTGATAAATATTGAGTAATAGCCTCGTTAAAAAAAACAATTGTATAGATATTTACATACGTTGAGTTTGTTTAGTTAGAATATAGGCAGAGTTAACCCCTCCAAATACTGGGTATAAATCACCAAGTCCTTGAAAGCCCCAAGAATTCGGTGGGTAGTTCTATATGAGCAATATGCTCATATCTTTCAATGAAAATATTGAATAAATTCTTAAGCGAGTTCTTAAAAAGAGCTTATATAAAACATCATGGAAAGGATCTAACTTATGATTATCAACAAAATAAGTTTTTACAAAACTACTTATTAGTCCAGTCAATAGGAAAGAAACCAATTAATTAATGCATTATTTACTTCCAGGTAACAAGTTTATAGGTTTTCCTTATCTCAATTTTAACATTAAGTAGTCTTCTTCCGGATTTGAGATAAGCAGTCATAAGAAGTGGTTTAAAGATGTTGAAAACCATATTTATTTTTCTGCAGGTTTTCTACTATATTTTAGTGATTCAAATATCGTTTGAATTATCTTCAAACAAAAGTTTTGAAGAATTCAAAAACCTTTTATTGTTAATTTTTTTTCATTTCAATTATTATTAACAACATTGATCATTTTTTTATTTTTATAATTTTTGAATAAACAATTTCGAATCAATACCCTATTTTTGTTTTCTAATCAGACTTTTTTTTCTTGAATTAGACTTAATTTTTCTTTTAGAACGTTCCGTCAATCTGATGCATCAGATTTCGATATAGATCTAACAACAACTTCCTCAGGAATTTCCAGTATTTCCGGGTTGCAATGGGTTGACGAAACACTTAATAATACATTAAAAACTTACCACCTTTTGCACTGTGCTAAGTTCACATTTATGCCCTCTTTTCCGAGTTATAAGTTTCACTTTTTGCGCAGCGAGTGTGATAAGAGCGACGCGGTGCCAAAATGTGTGACTTATGCCACAAAAAGCGTGCCATAAATGTGAACTTATGCCACACAGTGCTATAAAATTGCATATTATATACGTGTCATAATAGTACTTCATAGAGCACTGTGTGGCATAAGTTCACATTCATGGCACGCTTTTCTGTGGCATAAGTCGCACATTCTGGCACCGCTGCTTTCGCATCGCACTCGCATACGCTCGTGCGCTAACTTCACTACGCCGTGCCAAAAAGTGTTACTTATGGCACTTGTATCGTAAAGTACTATCATGCAACGGGTGTGGATATAAGCTTTGTCACCATTGAAGAATCACAATTTAAATTTAATCAGCGGTGATCACGATTATCAGAGTATCTCACGGAATTTTTAAAGCGATTTCGAACCACTCCTTAAAAATAAACATAATTCATTTTCTTACAGAACATGAGCCATTTTATACTCGAAAACTATTGATTTTAGGGAAAAAATGCAAAACCAAAAGTTTGAAAAGTGGTTTCGAAATTCCATAAAAATCATCTGAGATACTTTGATATTTGTGGTCACTCCTGATCATGTTTAAGGAGGCTGTAGCGAAAATGAAAAAAACTTTAGATCGAAGTGAAATTTTAGCCAATAATAGTTTATGAAATTACAAAATTTTTGGTAAAAAAAATTTGGGGTTTCCATGCAAACTTGGGAAATAATGAAATTCAAAGTTTTGGCCATTTAACATTGAATCAAATTGGAAGTGGCAGTTTTTAGTGTACTGTGAGCTTAAATCACTTTAGAAGTTAATGAAATTAATATATGTTACAGGAAATTTTATTTGCTTTCGAATGATATAATTATAAATGGGTCTTTCCATGCAAATAAAAAAGATATTAAGAGTCCAACACATTTCCCCTATGTTCTGCCATGCTAACGCTGTGCGCCACGTAACGCATTTAGCCTTGCGCATATAGCGTTTTAATGCAGAACCACCTTGCATCGCTACAGCCTCCTTAAATCGTGATTCTCTGGCAGTAACACGGCTAAAAATACGAGAAATTGATTTTTTGCAAAAATGTTTACGTTTTTTTTGTTTGAATAGCTTTAACTGTTTTATTACGCAAAATTTTGAGCTCAGTTTCTGAAAGGGCATTAAATTTTACATTGAAATAGATGTGTGCGAAATGTTTTTGAGGCCTGAAACTACGGTACAAATCTCTTCCAAAGCTAACAGAAAAAATCAAGCCTTTTCGTCGTTAATGGGTTCATGCGCGCGCAACATGCTGAAAGGTGCTAATACCTTTTTAAATTTTTAGATCGGTCTATTCTCTTTCGATGCCGATTTTTTTTATCAAAATCATAAAAACTGTGGGGTAGAGGGGCGAGGGGGAGGGAGTCCAGAGAGTAATTTTTACGATTTCAACATCTGGTTTGCCTGTTAGAAATAACGATATTTTCTTGAAACTTTATTAGAAAAAAACGAATAAATCGGGACTAACATTATAACTTGTCAGCCACCAGCACATTAAATGTAGCATAGGCATGTTTGCTTAAGATTTTAGCTAGACCGATTTTCGAAAAATGACTCTATGGGGCCCATTGTTTTTTTGCTCTGAATAACTGTACAAAATTTCATTTCATTTCGTTAAGTAATTTTTTCGTAAAATAATATCAAAATTACGATCCTTAGTCAAAAAAATCAAAAAATTGGATGATGATTTCCAGAAAAATTGGGTAGAATTATTTAGAATAAAAATGCGGAGGGCTCCACGGGGTATATCAATTTTAAATTTTCAGGGACAGATCGGTAACAGTCAGGGCTATGGCATCATCTTACAAAGAACTTTTTTTGTGGCCGTTTACCTGATTTTAAAAAATTAGATATTTCATTTGATTTTGTTTGATAATTTTATTTTTATGTTTCAGATGTGCTGTCAGTCTTCCGAAATTCTCACTGTACAAAATAATTTTTCTAGTATTTCACGAAATGAAGACACAAAACTTACATTTTTGGATATACCAGGATCAATGTACAAAACAAAATTAAATAATAAATTAAAGTTAAAATCCTCATTGAATGAAATTGACGATGCAGTTCATAATTCCGATATAGTGGCAGTTGTGCTAGATGTCATGAATGTTCAGTGGGAAAAAGTATTAAATTTGAGAACCAACATTTTTGGGAATCATTTAGAATATAAATTGAATCCAATTCTTATTCTAAATAAAATCGATATGCTTAGCAATAAATCAAATATACTTAACTTGATATCAAAAGTGAAATTAAATAAAAATATGTTTCAAGTAAATGATATTTTTATTGTATCGGCTTCAAATGGCGATGGAGTAGAGGATCTAAAGGTAATACTTATAAGGTGAAATATGTAAGAAATAATGATGCATACTCTCTTTTAAATTTCAGAATTACTTCTTAGATGTCGCGGAATCAAAAAACTCGTTTCATGATTCTGGTCAAGTTTCTAATCCAAAACCCAAATTAATTATTCAACAAACAGTCAAGTCAATATTTTTTAAAAACTTCAAAAATGAACTGCCTTATTTACTGAATATATATATAGATTATTTAAAGTTTAACGATGATGATAGTATTGACATAATTGTAAATGTAGAATGTCCATCTATTCGCATTGGTCGATTAATTGTAGGTAGAAAAGGAAATAGAATAAAGTCAATTGCTAGAGAAACCGAGCAACTATTAAGTTCAATATTCCAAATGACTGTGAGATCAAAGATTGCCGTGTTATTAAAAGAAGACTCAAAATGACCAGAACGCACTTTGTGCTGTACTGAATACATAATAAATTCTTATCATAATTCAAATAGCTAATCACTGTACAATATTCTTTGTTTTTTATGAAAATATTTTATAAAAATTTATGACACTATTTGTTTATCGTTCATAATGAAGATGATGGTAATAAATAAAATTAATTACAATTTGTTTACTTCATGTGTACATTTAATAACAATCCACTTAGATAAGATGGCATAAAAAAATCGCTGCCAATTTATTGGCAAGGAGCTTCATCTAAAGATGGTTTTTACTTATTGTCTAAAATTATAAAATAGTACTTTACGATACAATTGCCATAAGTAACACTTTTTGGCACGGCGTAGTTTAGGGCTCGAGCGCAGCGAGGGTCCTAATAGCTGGGCCGAAAAGTGTCCCCATGACACGAGTATCGTACAACATTTTATAGCATTGTGATAAGTTCACATTTATGCCCCCTTTTCCGAGTCATGAGTCGCACTTTCTGGTACCGCGAAGTGAGGTTAGCGCACGAGCGTATGCGAGTGCGATGCGAACGCAGCGGTGCCAGAATGTGCGACTTATGCCACAGAAAAGCGTGCCATGAATGTGAACTTATGCCACACAGTGCTATAAAAATTTAATTTTTTTCTGCCTTGCAATTGAGTAAGTTACGGTCTCAAGACCCCAAAAAAAATTTTTTTGAAAATTTTTTTAAAAACTTTTTTGAAAAAGTAAAAAAGATAAAAAAAAGACAGTAGAAAAGTGTGTCAAGTACTTATTCAATTTATCAATCATTAAATTAATTTGGAAATGTTAAATCATATGATAATCCGAAAAAAAAATTTTTTTTTAATTTTCTTTTTTAAATGTTTTTTCTCCGTGAATCGAAAAAAATGTTCACGGGCTTCATCGTTGATACATTTGGCAATAACTGCCATTAAATTCAACACGATTCACCGTACCATTTTCTAGATAATGCCCTACACACACATACAGACACATACACACACTTACGTAACGGCCTCCTTGGTTCAGTGGGTATAGTTTTTGCCTACTGATACAAGGATGTGCCGTAGGGCGTGGGTTCGATTCCTACTGGGCAAATTGTCGAAAGCCGTTTTTTCGCCTGGTGTGGTCGAACCCGGGCCCGAAGTGGAGCGGGTACCACTCAAAAAAGAAGACCCGGGCTGTGTCATCAGCCTCCGAAGCGGTAAAAAAACCCCGATTACTGTGCGAGCTGGAAACGAAGAGGATAACCATTCATAGGAGCCCGAGGCGAGGACTCACAAAGCTGGCGATGGATGCAGGACGGGGAGCACAACCATCAAAAACATTATGCTGTTACATGCCAAATTTACCGAAAAAGCAAAAAAATGCATTTCCCCATGCGATTTTTTGGAAAACTCGTACAGCAGTCCGTGAGAGCGGCAACTGACTGCACACCTTCTCGCGCGTATCATTGATAAAAATCATTTCCGATATTATTCTACGTCGATAGTTTTGCTCATGGTCCAGGATTTATGTTAATGCCTAAGACGGTGTATCGACGTACCTGTAGTAAAACAGTGGTATGCATCTGCGTTGTTTTAGTACGCTCAAGCAGAGCTTTTCTAAATTCTCCATCCCCAAGTCTGCTACCAAAGAGATGCTGCTTCCCATCGGAGTCCCTAAGTTTGACGATAAAAGGTGTTATTGAATTTGAAATAGATGTTGTTAAATAAGAAGTCATCAACTTGCGCCATAATTAGTCACGATGATGCGCCACAATAGAATAAAAACAATGCTCTCTTATATTGCAAATTACTCAATTACCAATTGATGAATCGACGATAATAAAGCGTCATGTTAAAATATAGCACAAATACTTGATCTCCATATGTACTATTAATCGCGTTTCAGCTCCATTTTCTCCATTTTCTCCAACACTCCATATTCTCAAATTTAAAACTCGTAATTATTAGATGAAAACAGCCGCATTTTTTATATTGCTTGTGATTTATTGTTGATGATATTTTTCAATAATTTTTTTGCAAAAATTAAATGATTGACATGCATAGAATATTACTACGTAAATTTTAGTTAGGTGAAATATCTCAAACTATGCCAAATGATCGTGCGCCGCATTAAGCGCTGCGCCATAAATATGCGCTTCTCCCCTATAAAAAAATTCAAGCAAAAAGTTGAGCTCATTTGTTAAAAATTGTCGAAATTTTCAAAAAGACTCCAAAGTGATCTAAGCGCTCTATAGGCTTGTCTTGGAAGAAACAAACACAAAAATCAAAATCTAATCCAACATATATTAGAATTTTAACTACGAACTGCTAAATTTCTGTAAAGAGCCTTCGAGACTCATGAAAAAAAGAGTCGAAGAACGTGGAAAAACCGTCGAATAAAGACTATTTTGGGCGATTTACCGCTATGTGAACATTTTTTATCATTGAGCTCTTCTTTTGCTCAATATTACAGATATATAATTTTTTAAATGTTCATGTAATTATGCGCAGGACTTTCAGATACAATTTATTTATCTTCTGTACAATACACTTTTTATTTAATTATTGAAACTTACATGTTAATCTTTTTTTCAATTATATAACTAATAGTTTTTTTATAATTTTACGAGATTATAAGCATCAATCAAAAGAATATTGATAATCTGAAGATATCTACAGAATATCTAAACGTGGATATTTAAACGACACAACGAAGGTACTCACGTTGAGTGCAAAATGTTTGAAAACATATTATAACATTATTACTCATGCCAATGTTTTAGAATTACCAGGTCTAATTATTAATAATATTAAAATAATAAGTAACGAGTTATTTTCGAGTCTCGAAAGTATAATGCGTTTTTCCATCCAATGGATATTGTTTGGCAGTCTGTAACATAAAAAAATATTATTTTATGTTTATTTAAAAAAGGTACTTATTAATCAAAATGTACATACCACTGGTTGATAACTGGGCAAATATAAGGTAGATAAATAACAGGATCCAAATAAAAACCCAAAAACAGAAACAAATGCCCAAAGCATGTAACCTTTAGAAAATCGAGAAGGCATTCCAGCATCATAACGATCTTCACCAAGCATATCTATCTCAGCGTGTAGCTAAAAATAATACAAACGCTTAATAATTTAGAAACGTAAAACATTTTTTTTTAATTCATTTGTATGTCATTGTGTTTTGTAAATTATGTAATATCTATCAATTTACTGATAATAATACTCTTGCCAAAATAGTGCTTTAAGATACAAGGGCCATAAGTAGCAATTTTTGGCATGGCGTAGTTTAGGGCCCGAGCGCAGCGAGGGTCCTAATAGCTGGGCCGAAAAGTGTCCTCGTCACACGAGTATCGTACATTATTCTATAGCACTGTGCTAAGTTCACATTTATGCCCCCTTTTTCGAGCCATGAGGCGCACTTTCTGGTAGCGCGAAGTGAGGTTAGAGCACGAGCGTATGCGAGTGTGATGCGACCGTAGCACTAAGGATGCTGATCTACTACTCAGGGGACGACAAGCTATACGTAAATCTTGGATAGCAATTAACGCAAATTACCCCTTGATATAACACAAGTTACTACGCATAAAACTAAAAAATCCCCTAAATGCCCTTCGACAAAATATATCAATGACGTTCATGATTGAATTGAAACAGCTATAACTTCAATTCTAGAGGATATTAGGAGTTTTTGAATATGCCAAATTTAAGGTAATTTTGTGTTCTTCGAGTTCATATAATTATGAATTGTGTTTAAGTTAATCTGGCATATTTAAAGTTCAAAAAACTGAAAAAGAAAACAACAAATGTAATTTGCAACGCGACACAAAAGTTTGCTCGTTTCGTATCGTAGATTGAGTAAAAATTATAAAAACCCCATACGAAGTTATATTGTTGAAAAGTTCTTCAAAAGACGAAAAATGTCATTCCTCGTGCGTCTTGATTGCTGCAAAATTACGCAACGCACAACTGTATAAATGTAAAACAAATATAAAAAAAATATAAAAAAAATTTTTTACGTCGTTTTACGCAAAAGACAAAATTGTAACATACAAAGTATACGAAAAAGGATCACGGTAGTGCTGTATCGTGATTTAAAATTATTATCTTTTCAAAGTTTCTTAAATGCAATCAGAAAATGGAAAAATCCTTCTAAAAAATTGTCAATTTAAAGGGGCGTAGGGTAAATGCGCCAGTTTTCGGACACTTAAGGAAAAATCTATCTTCGTTCATTTATAGAGCTTATGCATGATGTTTGAAAATTTTTTAAAAAATACCATTTGATAGAAAAAAATGTTACCTTTCGAATGGGTATGTTTACTTACCCCGAAAGTAATAACCATATTTATAAAAAATCATTAAATAAAAAAAACGCAAATCGCCTAGTTTTCGGCCACAAAATCCGATTTTCGACCACCTGAAGGCTAGTTTTCGACCACCCTTGTTTTGCTAATTTAATTTAACTAGCAAAAATCAGACGCGCTTCGTGCGCGTTGATTTTTCAATTTTGATTTTAAATAGTGTTATTTTCACCGTAGATGGCACTTTATTCTATTCCGACTCATGTCAAAAGTAACTCGACCAAACAGAAACCATTTATCGTGGCTCTGACATTTTAATTAGCTAAGTCTCATGATGATTCTTTTTTGATTCAAGCCATGGAATCTCTATAAGTATTCAGATCACCATGGGCTACTACTTTACTGATTGTCATTTATCATTGTTCAATAATTACCCATGCTGATCTCGTAAACATTTTTCCATTTTTTTTGACAGAATACCTTTCCCGTCTTGGAACATAGATTAAAGGAAGTTTTATCTCCGTTAAAAATCCTAGTTGGGTCGTCCAAGATGTCGGTACAATTCATTTCTTCTAAATAATAATGTAACCCATGAAACCAAGCCTTGATGGACTTCTCGGTCACTACTGTTCGTCGCTTTGAAATACTTTCAGACACTCGCAAGCTTAGTTGGGGGTGTCTTTTTAAAAATAATTTATACCATTTATCACCTGGTCGATTATTTAAAAATGGTGTTTTTATACGCGCGTCCTTGACAATTTTTTGAACGGTGCAAAAAAGCCGCGACTTTTTAACCGGAAAACCTATCGCACACGAATTGCGCACCCACTCCAAGATTCTATTCTCGCTTTCGAGCGTTAAAAATGGTTTGGGACCTGAAGCTTGCATCTTGCCTAGAGATCGACCGTTGATTACGTCGGACAGTGTTGTTCGAGGCACATTAAATTGTTTAAAAGCTAAGCGAATGGACATGCCCAGATTAATGCTAATAATTGCATTATCTAAATCCTCTTGATTATATTGCCGATAACTTTTTCTATTTGTAACAATTTCCATTGTAACTATATAAACGATACCTTCCTCTACAAGCGTTTGACTTAAACTGCTTAATTTGAATTTGCCACGCTAGTACATTAAAGTAATCGAACGTGCAGATTTTCCAACGATTTTTTAGGTGGTCGAAAACTGGCTTTCATTTGAATTTCGCGTTCGGCCAGAGTTCGGCCAACCCGGTCGAAAACTAGATTTTGATAGAATTCGTCTGCTAGTTGCCGACATATACCGTAAATTATTAATTTACAATTATACGATTAATGTAACGGCTTAAAACATTCGTATAAACCTTCATTATCGATAACAATTAGTTGCGATACCTATTGAATGCATTTTTTTCGTTATTACGAATAATTTGAATTGGTCATTTTTAGTGTTTTCCTTAAGAAAACAGAAAAATTTGCTTGATCGATCAGAGGCCCAAAATTAAAAATAATTATAAAATGTATACGAATGATTTGAGCACGGAAATATATTTTATACTATAATATAAGGTACCTAGAATATAATAAAAATATTAGGAAAAAGAATTTTTCATTATCAGCTTATTTTATTAAGCATTGCGTATATGGTGGCCGAGAACTGAAGGGTGGTCGGAAACAGGCGCATTTACCCTATAAGCCCTTAATTTAATAATTTTTGGTGAAATAAGAAGTTTGTTAACATCTTACTGTTTCATTAAAGTTTCTTCTATGTTCCGGATTGTCGTAAGGATAAAAAGGATCTCGTGTAGCAACACCTAAATATGGTAATTTAGGATAATCTCCATATCCATGATCATCTTTGTATGGTGTATATTCACTTTCGTGTAAATTATAGTTTTTCGCTGATCTTTTTCGTTCCTCTTCAGATTCCGGATATTGATTGGGCATCCAATCTTTATTCCAATCTAGGGATTTGAAAATAATGTTAAGATCTTTTTTCACAAATTAATAAGTAAGCAAATATTTGAAATTTAATTCAGTAGGACGCAATTGTTTTAGCCCAATAACGCTTAAAGAACACGATTTTGACATTTAACGTTACGCTCTTACCATGTCTTAATTGACACGAGAAAAAGTATGAAAACAACTTAACTGAATGGATTTGAGGCTGATATTTCCAATGGTGGTATTTAAAATTGCGTGAACTAACAATTTACAATAAGAAATTGAAAATTTATACAATCAACGTGTTTAAGGTCAAATTTTTTCATAATTTCAAGTTTTAACGTCTCAAAAAAATGTAATTTTTTCAGATTTTTTGAATGCATCATTCAGGGCTTTAGAAAAAAGTATTAAAAATTTCGAGCTTTGTAGACCTTTTTTTTTAACTTAAATTTAATTTAGGAGCGCGTGTCGCGCTCTACCTGGTAAGTATGACAGGAATTAAGTGACGACACGCCGCTACTCATATACAGCGCATAGCTTTCCATTAACTATTTTTTCGCTCTCATTTGAATTTGATAAGAGATATCGAAAATCTGATAAGCCCATCAGATTCCTTGGAAAAAATCTTTTCTTTACTTTAAACTTCTACAAAATTTTTTTTAGATTTTTCACGTGTATGAGTAATCTAGCACATTTTATCCTTGCATGAGGAAAAATTCAATAAAATTTTTCTGACATAATTTTTTAGGTGCCATTACTCTATTCATCTCTATATTACAAAAATATTTACAGTTACATTTTGAACAAATGCCGAAACTAATTTCTTGAATAATTTTTCAACTTTTTCATCATTCGATCAATAAATTTTTTTAATTGTTCAAGCCCAAAAAGATTATATTTTCAAACAAACTTTCTGCGACTTCTATTGAATATTTCTCTAAAAGACTCAATGGGAACCTTTTTGTTGTTTTTCAGGCTACCATAGAGTTTTTCAAAGAAATATTCATAGGAAGTTTCAGAGAACTTGTTTAGAAATTTCAATTATTGGCTAAAAAGTTTTCATTGATTTCATTTCTGAGAAAAAAGAATTATTATTTGAATCTCTAATTTTCTTAATTACCATTTATCAATATAATCAAAAATGTTATATCTATTTCATATATCAGTTTTTGTTTGTGTTTAAATTGACAGCTTTTTCTCAAGATCTTCAAATTTTTCAATATATTTTTCAATATATTTATAATTCTACTTCATAGGTATTTTTGTAAGTATGCCAAATTTTTTATAAATAATTTTTTTATTATAAAATAATTCTTTTCAATTATCTGAAAAAAATGTTGTTTTTATACTCTATTGGCTAGGTGCTACTATACTTTTTGATATTCAATTATTGTTAAATACTGGAAGTAATGCAGAAAATGTAGAAATTTAATAACAATTTATTAAGAAGTTTAATATAAAGTATAGACATAATGTTATTTGTAAGCAGGTAATTTTCTTTGCACTTAATGTAATGTTTTGAAGTGATTATGAAAAAACATTTTGTTCATGACATACACTAAACGAGTGGTGATTCTGTTCAATGGAACGCCGGATTTTCCTATGCTTATACACGTTCCACCACTTTCTTGGATCCAACAGAATTAGCGCTCACCTGGTGTACATAATTTTCCCACATTTTTTGAAAATCAATAAGAATCTTTGTTTATACTGTTTAGATACGGCATTTTATTTTATTTTTTTTCATGCAATTATTTCCAATTAAACATCTAAATTTTTATTAAATATATTTAGCTGTGTATTAAATAAGTTCATTATTTAGATAATTTTCTAACAATAATACAAGCTAAAGTATTTGGAAAAAATAAATATTCCAACTTTGAAAATATTATTTTGATTTTTTAACACTGCCAACGACATTTATGATGAAACTAATAGACCTGATTTTGACTTAATTAGTCTGCCTGATTACAAAAGTAACACAATAAGTTATTGTATTTTACACCATTTAATTGAGTTTTTATTCAAAGTTATCATACCGTTGCAATTTGGTGTGATTATAATTTTATAATTTTCTAGATTTAGTATTTTTAAAATGTAAATATTGGATTATTATGTTGCGAATCCAGTATTTGCATTAATAGACTCTGAAATTAACCATCACTGCAAGGAACCAATTAAAGTAATGGTTTATTGATGTCATACAAAGAGACAAGCTTTAAAAATGATATTGTTATAAAATCTAGAAATGATCATGAACTTAGCAATATTAATAATATACTGCAAATCTTTTCAAATATCATTAGCTGACTTAAATTTTATGAAATACTTAATTCATTGTCAAAATGTGAATTAATATTGAATGGCACCTTGGACGATATTTTAGAACTCAGAAACATTTTAACATTCAAATTTAATAGGTGTAGATTAGTACATGATTTTTATTGAGTTTGTGTAAGATCCACCAAATTCCACAAATGATGACTACATAAAATTTTTTGTAATGATGTACTCACGGCCTTTAAATGACACAGAAGAATGCAACCCTCTCCGAAGCATATGTGTATTAGAGAACAATCGCATGTAGCAAGTCATTTTAATTACAGTAATTTTCTATTTTGTATATCTTCGATAATATCTGAATGATAATGGCGATAAAAATGTTTAAATTTTATATAATTTCTTTTGAACGTAGAATGTATTAATTTCAGAATTGACTTTGCAGCTGTCTGCTTATTAAGGCTTTTACACGTGAATAGAAGAAAAAATTTCAAGAAGTTGCAATTAAGGGAAACTCTTCTGATTGTCACAAAGAAGTCACTTTACCATGAAGTAGCTGATTTGCTTGATGACTTGATAGTCGAAACGAAATTGGCACATTCGCTGTGGAAACTATGGACCGGAATTTTGATGCAGGATACTCTTTATCTAGTATTTCTATTTATAGCATTAAGCTGAAAAAGTGAAAAAAAATTTTTTTCATAAAACAGGCATAAGGCCTTTTTCCATACCCCATTTGAAAGTACTGTGTCCAGTTAGATACTTAAAAACACTTAAATTAACTGGTATAAGTCTATAAACCTAACAAATTTGCATGTGTGTAAGTAGTCGAAGTTGCGATCTTATGCTTAGCAATTGAGGTTGCGTCGATGGCCAATGATCCATCAAACAAAATGAAACCACATATACAACTGAATTGTGTCATGCAAACACTTGGAAACCTACGGCAAACAGCTTCTTACCCCTGAAGATTTATAGACTTATACCAGTTAATTTAAGTGTTTTTAAGTATTTAACTGGACAAAGTACTTTCAAACGGGGTATGGAAAAAGGCTCTTATGCCTATTTTATGAAAAAAAATTTTTTTCACTTTTTCAGCTAGATACCATAAATAGAAATATATAATTATTTAAGCCCCCTTTGAGACCTTAATAGATCGTAGAACAAAATAGGGGATCATCGTAACCGACTCTGCAATCGTCGCGGGCATCGTGCTGTGTTACGCGATGACCTTCTACCCTGAATGTATGAGCCGATTACCGTTTTAATCGTAACCCAGTTGAAAAAAATTGCGTGGATGTCCACGTGGATTATCCACTCTGATTCCCCGTTGATCATACAGGGATTCCTCGAGGATCGGACATTGATTCCACGTGGATCGAACATGGATCATAATACGGAAAAACGTCCACGTACCTACCTAAGCCTCGTGGATTTAAGCGGAAATCGGAATTTTTCGATAAACCCACTCGGTTTTCCGCAGAAATCTTCGGGGATATTTGATTATCCACGAGGTTTTTTGAAGTGAAATCCTCGTGAATTTTGAGTGAAAAAAAATTGTCAAGTATTTTTTTTTTTATTTAAAAATTGTTAGTAATTTTTGAAATTATTTACTTAATAATTTAGATTATTTTTAAGATTTATATAAGATTTATTTATTTGTATACTTTAGAGAAGTGAAAAAGTTCCTCAAGACCTGGGCTTGAACCGGTGATCTGTCGGTTACAAGTCCAGCTCCCTACCATTTGAGCTATTCATTATAATTATATACAAGGGCTCTCGAAGCAGTTATATTAATGAGAAGTGTGTATGCATTTTTTTCGTGTTCTTTTATATCTTATTATTTTATAGTACCACAATAGAAAAACTAGTTTTACAATATAATCACAATTTTAAAATCTTGCTTTCGCTCTTACTCTGGATGGGTACTAGATTAGGATCCGGACTAGGCCGATGACTTACTTCGGGTAGTCGTGATTTTTTTTTGATTGCGAGTACCCGAAGAGTCACCGCAAAGTTCAGTTCTGACCTGGAGCCAAAAATAGACTACCCGGATGATATTTCCTGAAGACAATTTGGCATGATTTTCACCTGATAATTTAACTGATTTTTCACCTGATTTTTTCCAGCAGGGTTATATTCAATTATCCTCGCGGATCAGTTAAAAATCCGTGACGATACACTGACGAGACCTTGCGGATCCTTTGAGCGTTCTCGCGAACAAGTCCGAAATCCACGAAGATTGAACAAAAATCAACGTGGATTATTCAATTATCCTCGTGGATCAGTTCAAAATCCGCGGTGATTCGCCGACGAAACCTCGCCCTGTTTAAAAAAAATCGCTGGATTTCCAATTGGAAAATCTAGCAGGATTGGACTGGAAATAGAACTCGATTCGACTAGAAATCGAGCTGTATTTGACTAGAAATCTAGCTCGATGTTTTACTGGAAATCCAGCTCGATTTTTAAACTGAAATCCAGCTTGATTTTTGACTAGAAATTTAGCTCGATTTTGGACTGAATGTCAATCGATTTCAGATCAAAAATCAAACTAGATTTAAGGCCAAAATTCGAGCTGGATTTTCAAAACATGAGCTAGATTTCAGATCGAAAATCGAGCTGGATTTCCAGTAAAAAATCGAGCTAGATTTCCAGTCAAATACAGCTCGATTTCTAGTCAAATCGAGTTCAATTTCCAGTCATATCCTGCTCGATTTTTCAACTGGAAATCCAGCGATTTTTTTAAACAGGGCGTGGATGTTTTGAAAAAATGCTTGCGAACAAGGCCAAAATCCACGAGGATTGAAGAAAAATCAATGTGGATCAGTGGAAAATCCGCAGCGATTGCATTTTTTTCAGACCATGATCGATCCACGTGGATATCCATGCAATTATTTTCAACTGAGAAATATTACAAAAAATTCGCGCAACTATGAAACAACTTAAATAGGTAAATCGGTTTCAATCAGAATTGATTAACACAATTCACGATTAAAACGGATTCTTTTTTTTAATCCAGTTTAATCGGGATTCTTTAGCAAGGGTATCACTGATAGTGGAAATGAATCTTGCCCGGTGGAAAAGTTGTCAGAACAATGGAAAATGTTGGCTTGAATCATTGTTATCTAGATAAATTGGGCCATTCGAAAGAGAAGATGTCTCTTATTAATTTTTTCTTGAATGCTCATTTTTTGTGTTATAGGCGAATCAAATTCAAAAAAACGCTAATTTTGCCGTTTGGATTTGGGAGCAATCGCCTCATCCATTCTCGAGAACGGATGAGGCGATTGCTCCCGAATCCACCGTTTTCGATGTCTAATAACATGAAAAGCAATAATTTCGATGTTGCCATTATTTTTTTATAATTTTTCAGACATGCCTTTATCAAGCCCTGTAGTTTTTGATTATTGTCGATAAAATCATACTTAAGATTTTACGTAAGATAAAATAAAAGCTCTTATGTACGTTCATATTAAGAACTGACATGAGAACTTATTTTAACTTTTCATTGGGGAATGTACTGGATTGACTCTCATTTCGTCCAATGAAGCAGGAATGGAAACACTAGATGCATTCGAAATTTAATTTTCTATACCGCTATGAATCAAATCCAACATTACAGGCAGTGTCTTATAATTCGAATCGTGGATCAGGCTCATAGTCAAAGAGAACCTTCATTAATTTTTCAGATCATGAAGTGGACACTAAGTGAGCGTTAATTCTGTCCGATTTAAACGAGTGGTGGAACAAAAGCATGCAATAAGGATTATTTTGCCGCTTGTAAATATGAACATGCAAATGTGGCATTTCCCGTCAACTCTCCCAGTGCCGCGCGGCGCGGCAGAATTAAGTCAAATCACTAAATTTGTAAATCGCTGTAAAAGTATTAAAATGCACCTACAGAAAAAAACGAACACATGATTTCGATGGAAAATTGCCTCAGCTTTCCGATGGTAAGGTCAGATTTTCCGAAATTTTATGCTTTACCCGGGAAAATCGCTGGGAAAACTTTAAAGTCGATTATCTCAAAAACTTCATTTTTAAGATTGTTTAAATAGTCTAGATCGAAAGATCAGGAAATTTCCCATCGATATGAAAATTTTCTAGAGAGGCGTTTTTTTATTTTAGCGAGATATAGCGAGAGAAAGAAGAAAAAACGTGGTTCTTTCGTGTCCGGCCGCCCGCGCGCGCCATTGATCACCCAAAAACCACGTTTTTTCTTCTTTCTCTCGCTATATCTCGCTAAAATAAAAAAACGCCTTTCTAGAAAATGTCTATATCGATGGGAAATTTCCTGATCTTTCGATCTAGACTATTTAAAAAAATCTTAAAAATGAAGTTTTTGAGATAATCGACTTTAAAGTTTTCCCAGCGATTTTCCCGGGTAAAGCATAAAATTTCGGAAAATCTGACCTCACCATCGGAAAGCTGAGGCAATTTCCCATCGAAATCATGTGTTTGTTTTTTTCTATAGGTGCATTTTAATACTTTTACAGCGATTTACAAATTTAGTGATTTGACTTAATTCTGCCGCGCCGCGCGGCACTGGGAGAGTTGACGTGAAATGCCACAAATATGAAACATGTAAATATGAAGCTCTTTCAAAATAAGTGAAGGGGGGTTATATATGATTCACGGGCTATTTCTATTTGCCCCCTTGAGCCCCGTACCACCACCAAGCGGAAGAATAACCCTCATTCCATTGGACAGAATTACCACACCTAGTGAAGAAGATATATTGTATTTGTCTCCTTTGAGGAACATGGCACACGTGTTATATTTTAATATCTTAAATTGTTCTGTATGAGATGTAATACAGATACATAATTTTTAGAAAAATATAAATTACTGAAAACTAAACAGGAAAATATAATAAATTCACGCGAAACAGAAGAACTTCTGAAATGTTTTTTATTACAAAAAATATTTTTGAATGTTGAGAAAATCGCTACCAAAAAAAAGTTTATTCTAATGTTATCATTATGTTTAGAGCAGATTTCTGAAAAAAAGCTCGTTTATATTTATTATTCATAGTAACACTATTGTACCTTAAAACCCTTATAAAAATTTCCAATAGGATCCCGCGAAATTCCTATTGGAATCCTATAGGACTCCTGTAGGAATTTCGCGAGATCCTATAGGAAATTTTTATAAGGGAATTAATAATTCAAATTGAACTCGATTTATTCGAAAATTTTTTTAATTGCGTATTAAATTGTTTAGATAAGAATTATTTTCATATCTTTTAAAATGATTTTTTGTTCTTCAAAATTGTGTTGTGAATCATCATATTTTAAAATCGATATTATCTTCCTTATTCATGTCCCGACCTTAACGGTCCAATTCGCAGTTTTTTGTTTCTGTTTTAAATAAGTTGTAAAGACATTTATCTTTTAAGACTGGCGTTTTTGATACGTTGTTGATATATTTGAGCCCACTATAATACTTGAATTTTGTAATCAAATAGAATGCAAATTTATACAAATCAAATTTTTTTTTAAAACTCATGATAATTTTCTTCTCGAGTTTTAATGTTTACTACTATTACCACATGTTTTCAAATGAAATACATTTGGTTTTCTAGTAAACTCTACTATTATTATTGAATCAAAATAATGAATGTTTGGATAAGTAAAAGTGTTGAGAAATTTATCAAATTATAAAATATTCCAAAATTGGTAATGACATAATGGATTCATTTCTGAAAATTGAAGTTGGAACGAGTGTGAATATCAAAAGAACTGATGGTAAGTTTATAGTGGAAAATTATCTATAGTTATTTCAAGTTACATATTTTGTTGTTACTGATTGTAATTAAATCCAAATGATCAATAATTAATTTGTACAGTAATTTCCAGTGGTTTCATCATTTTAAATTAAAAAACTGAAAAGTTAATATATAAATCTCAATCTTGAGAACCGTTTTATATGTATTGATTTTCAATTTCTACCTGAACAATGCTGTCACTTTAAAAGATATTGAGTTTCTTGAATTTTGAAAAATAAATTTTATTTATACTTTATTCTAAAAAGAGTGTCATTGTAGGTTATACAAAATTTCATGGTTTACTTTTATGAGCAACACTCATTGATCATATACTTAAAATTATACCTTATATTTATAAATGCATTATATCATAATTTAAGTTAATGGGCAAATTGTGAGTTCTAAATAGCTATTATTTTAACTATAATAAACAATCATGCTAATTGTAATTACATCTAAAGTGAACAACTTTTAATCAAAGTCCTATGCAGTAGTTGAAAATAATTCTATGTACATGAAATGATTCATTAAATAGTATTGAAAAAAGTTATACACATTATAATAGTTCCATATCTCAGTAAAATAAATTTAATGAAAAACTTTTAGCAAGTACAAATAAAAAAATACATCCTAATTTTTCTGTGCTAAATTTCTTTTTTTTTCTTACTAATATAATATAAACAATTAGTGTCGTTATCAATAAATAAATATTAAATAAAAATGGTTCAGGTATATGGATTACCAGCTGTTCAAGAGATATCAAATTTAATAGAATATTATATCTACAAGCTTGCTCGAACTTGTCTATCGGGTGAAATTTCTAGTGTCACTCCACCTCTAATTTATTATCAAAATGATAGCTTTCTATTGATACAAAAAAATATTTTTTAACTTAAAATAGAATTTTGTTATACAATTTTATCAAAATCGGAGTAAATCACAACAATCCTAAAATACTACAATAAATTTTACACTTAAAACTGAAGTATAAACTTTTCCTTTTTCTTAATAATAGGTCACATTTGCAATGGATACAAACATATTATATGATAGTAAAAGTATTTTATAAGTTCAATACAAGCTCCATTATGACACTTGTGCCAAAAATTTTGAATGTGATCTTGAAAACATCAATTTATTTCTGTAGAATTGAAGTTTTTCATAAGTTTTTGCAACTAGTGTGTTTACATAATGCTTTGGCTATGTATTATGTTATAATTATCATGATTTGCTAAGAAAATCATGTGAAATATTACTTATTTCTTGAAAAATTTAATGAATACATTGAACAGTTTTCTCCAATTTAATTCATTATTTGTTGTACCTTTAATTTATCAAGTGATTAATTAAAAGATATGAGCAAGTCATTTTTTAAATTTTTACTATTTTTTATCTAATTTGTACCAGAATTACAAAAAAAATAAAAGCACTTATACAAAATATCATTTATAAAAGCATATGTCAGAGCTTATGTAATGCTTATCAATAAATATCAATTTTTCAAACTCTTAAGTTAGTATCCACTCTTGGTAGTAGTATCAATTAAAAGATCATTCTGAATAGATATAACTTCTATAAGTAATGCTAATATTACAGAACAGATATAGTGATATTTTGATTATTGAAAAAAATGTAAATAATTATTAAAATTATAATTGTTATTTATATGAAAATTCAGTTCAAACATAACTATTAAAAACTTGTTTTTCACATACTTGAAATAGTAGGATTCATAATGTAACATAATTAACTGCAATTAATTTTCTTTAATCTCAGAAGCAGCAAAAATGTCTGGTCATATAAAACATTGAAAAATCATGTAACTTTTAAAAACTTATATAAAACTTTATATGCTTTTAAAACATATTTGAAAAAATTGGCTTAACTAATTTTTTTAAACTTAAAACTAGCTAAAATTTCCGATAAAAAATTGATAAAATTTTTTTAACTTTAAAAAAATTTTTTAAACCTTTAAAACATGAAACTAAAATAAAGATCGGATTATGAGCACTCAATTTTTCCTAGGAGATGATGTATGGTTTTTCTCAATAATTTTGAACCACAGAGTCAGGAAAAGTATTTGACTGCATCCAAATTAAATCATTCAAGGTGTGCGCGTGTGGCATTGTTCATTTATTGCGATTTTTCTAGCTCGCTGGAAAAAGTACTTGGACTGTTAAAAAATATTGGAACCCATGAAAATTGATAGCTTTTTGCCTTCACTTTCCAGTAGTGACTTTAGTTTTTCCGAAAAGGGAGTAGATAGGCGGAGCTTGGATCGAATTTTCGACTCACGTCGCGACAACGGACTACACACGACTAAACTTGCTCGTCGAACCGTCGACTCACCTCAACCAAGGCCGCTTACGTGACAAAACTCGTCGGGAAAACCCCCAATAGCTCGGCATATAGGCCCATCTGTTAATTTACCTCGGTCAAGCTCGACTTGCATGAGCTTGTCCACACTCGGACAGGTTCTTCGTCGGAACTCCGACTTATCGGCCAAGGAGCCTGCCGGTAGCCCAGCTGTACATACTTGTCGCTATACGAACCCTCACCATGGTACATTACGTTGTCGTCAGATTTCATTGCCGGTGGGCGGCTTGTCTGCAACCGACGCAGGGGCTGAGCTCCTCACACTACTACTAATGCTGTTGGTGCAGCCTCTGGTGTTACAATTCTGAAATGAAAAAATAAATAGATAGATAGCTTCTCTATTAGGCATTGTTTAGATATGAGTTGACCGCGAGGTGGCGCACTTGTGTTATCCGAAATATTATCATTATTATTATTTCTACAGTGTTACGTCTGTAAAGCAGACGACGAACTTTTTTTTTGAAGCAAATGAAAAACGTACCGTGCGCATGACTTCGGAAAAACACAAGTGCCCCACCTCGCGGTCCACTCATATCGGGACAATGCCTAATAGAAGTAGTGATGAGCTGCTCCAGAAAAAGTAGCAGTAGAAGAAAAAAAATGTTGATTGCACATGTGAAAATGTAATTTATAAGAAATGTCACACGTGTATCGAATATGATAGCATGGATTAGTGTTGTTTAGGTATATAGTTATTGGTGTAGTTTAGGGTACATTTTGAACCCTTTTAGAGCGTCAAAGTGTGATTGTGAACTTGCGTGCGAGCGAACCAACGCGGATCCACGTCGAGCGACGACCCTGTACGAGTGGATCCTGTAAACGACTGTGTCGTCGACGAGTAAGCGACCGAAGTCAATTGTAATTATTGCTAGCGTCCCTGCGGCCCTAGTATTAGTCAAATTATTGTTCATTTATTTTCACGCGAATAAAACACCTTATTTTATTATTTCGCGACTAATCGTTTATTTCGTGTTGCCTGCTTCGACCCTTTTTAGAAACGCGATTACTCGACGAGTATCTGTACGCGGGATCATCATCAGAGCTCGTCGAAGTAAGGCATCGACGAGTTGTGTTTTGCAACGCGGGTTTGTTAATATTTTTTTGTATGTCAACAGATGTGGAAAAATATAAACATTTATTGATATTTTCGAGCAGATATAAAATAATAAAACTGAAATAAAAATCCCAATCAAAATTCTAGAAAACTCAGCCCATAAAAAGTACCTTTCCTGAAGATTTTGGCCCGTACTAGAAATCTCTACCACAAAAACTCAGATCTGAACCCTGCGCTCAGTGCCAAAATGTTAAAATAGCAATAATAAGCTATTTTTAGATGCTGAGGCCTATTGTTCAACTTTTTTCTACATTATAAAGGGTTAAAAGATGTCAAATTTACGTTCACAATATAGATTGACATAAAACTGAAATTAATATTACAAAAATGCTTAACACGAGTGAATTGGTGGCCTCAAACTCATCTCTTTACAAAAATCACCACATTAGACGGATGCAATCTACAATTTTCAGAACCAGGTTAGATTTGGCATAGCCAGTGCAAAAAATTTGTGGAATAAAAGAGGTTTTTAACTATTAAGACCGTATTTATGAACCGCTATTGTAGGTCTTAGCTATGACTAGAAAATGATGAATACTTTTTAGTAAAAATATAACGATTTATTGTGATTAAATAATAATAAATGTATTGAAAATTCGTTTCTTACTTAGATAATCGAAATTATACACTTTAACAAATAGTAAATTTGGAATATTTTTATTGATCAGTTTTACAGAAACTAGGCTTTCTTAACACCGATGGTATTTTGCGCGTGATTTTTCAATTTTTTAGATGTAAACGTAATGGAAAACATTTTTCGAATTGTGATGGCTAGTTTGACCATCTATTTATTATTAATAAAATATGCCAGCTGACTGAAAGCTAATGACTCGACTCTATGTCTCTTGGGTGGGGCGTGGTGGAGAAATGAATAACACAGGGATTTGGATTCATACACACAAGACTGTTTATTTAACCTTACATAAATGTTGCTTACTATGTACCGGTGTTCTTATCTTCGGCGGCGACGTTCGGTGCGGCGACTGAAGGCGTCGGTGTGGTGGCTGTTGTAGGGCGGGCCCGTGACGGTCTAGCCTTGGCTGGTGCGGCGTCGGTGAGGGTGATCGGCGTCGGCGAGATCGGCGTCGAGGAGATCGGCGTCGACGAGGGTGTCCTCGGTGTCGATGAGGGTGTTCTCGGTGTCGATGAAGCCGGCACGGCGTCGGCGTGCTGGGCAGCGTCGGTGGTTGCAGCTGGGCGGGCTCGCGTACTTTTCGAATAACTAACTCGCACTGATTTTATCTGGTCGGAGCCGAGCAACAGGCTGGCTTTCAAGTAAACTGCGAACTTTGACTCGAGAAGTAAAGATGTACGTGAATACCGAACCGACGAGCGTCGATGTGTACGCCTCGAACCGAGAATGAACACTGGGCCCGAGACTCTGAGTCTCGGTTTATATACTGTTTGTTGCTGCTGTACCCTCTTTGTCTGAGCGAGGGTCGCCGTGAACTTTATGTGTCCTCTAGAGCTTGCGGGCTGCGCGTTTTTTCCCATCCGTCATTTCTGGGAATCTTAGGCGAATGCTTGAGCCGTCCCCTTAGTTTCTTCGCTCGCAAGTTGTGACCTGATTTTTGCCAACATCCGATTTTTCTGCGAATTGCCCGAGCCGGTTACCCTATCGAATTCCCGGTAACGGAGGCATCATAAATTTCGACTTGTAGCTTGCAAGCGCGAGTTATGCTTCACACAAGCGCGCGCTGCTCCATGCGTGTGCGCACTCACACCAGTGCATACCGCGGCGTACGTGAGTGGGCGCACACTAACGTTTGCTGCTCTATCCGTGTGCGCACTCACACCAGTACGCGCTGCGGCGTACGTGTATAGTCGCACACTAACGTTCACGGTTCTGTCCGTGTGCGCACTCACACCAGTACGCGCTGCGGTGTACGTGTGCAGTCGCACACTAACGTTCACGGCTCTGTCCGTGTGCGCACTCACACCAGTGCGCGCTGCGGTGTACGTGTGCGGCCGTACACTAGCATGCCCGTTCGGGACTTGGTGTTGCATCGGGCTGATTTGCCGCCCCGTGTTTCACCTGCCTACGGCCGCAAAGATGATATGACTAGGTCATTACAGAATGAATGACTTTCTCTCTAAAATTAAAATTTTGAGAAATACATTAGATGATAGATGAACATAAAAATTTGTTTGCAACCACATTTGTCCAATACAATAGAAAGACAGGATTTCCTTGATATTCGCGGGGGGTTACGTTTCTAAAAAGTGCTGTGAATATGAAAAACAGAATATAAAAACCTTTGGATTTCTCAAGATTACTCTGCCGAATAATTTAAACTGAAATTTATTAAAACTTGCAAAAAAAATTTTTTTCAAGGTTATCAATTAAAATTTAAATGTTATCAATGAATATTGTAGGGAATTAACTTGAATAAAATTTTATAAGTTCTTGGTATTCCCAATTAGGATCATCAAAGGATACTTGTATTATTAATAATTGAAAATATACCCTGCTTTTTGAATTTATCGGTTAATTATAACATTTTTTCGTAATTGTAACCAGGAAAAATCAAAAATAAACCATAAAGTTAACTTTTTCCATACTGAGTCTTGTGAAATATTTAGCTCGGCTCGTTTAATGATGATTTTCTCGGTGAAAATTGAATATTTCGAAAAATCTGATACTACCATCGGAAAGTTGAGGAAATTTATTATCGAATGTAGATTAGAAATTGAGTGAATAGTCGTATTTACGTGAAGACATGACTTTTTGGCCTCTAAAACACAAGAGTAACCAGAAAAAAATACCTATCTTCAAATTTCATGTTCACGCTTTTTTTTAAGCTTCCTAAGGCCTTCACAAACATTACTCTATGTCTATAACATGCATCCAACGAAAAAAACATGTTTCTAGTCGAAAAATTTTAAATTGAATCCTGGCATTGCTCATATGCACATATTACGCTGAAAACACGAAGCAAAAATAAGAATAATTTTATTCAATCTCCACAAAATTAGCCTTAACTTTAAGATTTTTTTTTGGCATAATCATGACCCACATGATTCCCTCCCCTAAAAGTACCATATTTATTCAACATCTGCGTATGAAAGATTATTTATAACTTTTAAGAAAAAAATAAATACAACTTTTACTGATATATTTCTTTCTTATTATACAGGCCGAGTTCACTCAGCAATTGTTTCTGGCGTCAACTGGGATCAACGCAGCGTCACAGTGGAATGGTTTGAAAGAGGCGAAACGAAGGGAAAAGAGGTATTGTTAATTTCACTTCCAGTAATTAAAGTTTTTTTCATCATGACTTACATTTAGGATAGAAAACATTTCATAAAAGTAATATCTAACTTTATTTCAATTTTCTACTAAAAAGAGCACAGTACAACCCTTTTTGTGGTAATGATTATAAGTCCAAGGCATAAACCATTGCTTGCCCTGCAGTCGATAATTTTTTAACTGAGGCACCCACTAGCCTACCGACAACCTCACCTTCGAAAGGGTTGAGACGTCACTGAGTGCACCGTGACCTTCGACAGTCTAATGCTGAATTTTTTCTTCTCATGCTAGAAGAGGAAAGAGGTGAGAAGGAGGTAGGAAGGAAGAAAATATTTGTGATGAAAAACATTTTATTTATTGCAATGGAAGATAAAAATGCAAATGAGTGGTCTAATGTTGCAGTGTAGGGCTTTTTGTAGTAGAACACTGGAGGTTGACGTTTGACTGATCTCATTTGTCTCAGCTGATAATCCAATGACTCGAAAACAGCGTCTGAGATAGCTTAACGAAGCGTCTCTGATGATGATGAGAGAGAGAGATTAGATTAGAATATGTATTAGGCCATGGATTCCCGTATGTTACACAAGCTTATACTTGAGGTTATACGCGTTACAAAAGTAATAGATATGAGTAAAAAAATGTACTAGAACATAGTTAGACAAAGAGTTTGCAAAGAGAGAGATTATTTACAGTATAAATGCACAATATTTGTAAAAATTTAGATACATAATGTGATGTATAACACAGCTTAAATTTGAAAGATTATTGATCTTCTTTCTTAATCTAAAGGCGATATAATTTGCATGGTGGTTGATACGTAACTATGATCATTGAAGGAGAATTTTGAGAGAACAGTTGAACTATTATCAGTTGCACCAAACGATGTCATTTGGAAAAACAAATTCTATTCGCAAATGCTTTTTGAGAAATGTTTTGATAGATGCAAGTCGCCTGTTACCAAAGTTAGTAATGGCTCTGTTGGTACAGTCAATTCTGACAATTTAACTTTTCTACCTAAGCAGCACATCTAGGGGCTAATTTTTTAATTTAACGCACCACAAAATTCACATCATTCATTTATTTTACCGGTAAAGACATTTTTATGGCAGCTGTAATCAATTCTTGAATCATAGAGAAACGCAGCGTGTTGGAAGGACGTTGACACTTCTCATTGAACCCGAAGGTGGTGTGGAGGTCATGAGTTTCGTTGGCACGAATTCGAACCTGATGTAGACGATCAGCCTGTAATCTCTTTGCACGGTGCTCGTTAGTTTCCAAGGAGCCGGCTCGAGCAGTTTATATTAGAGAAGCTTGCAGTCTTTCGTGATGGTCTTCAGGTGTTTCGGAAGATCGTAAGATTCTTTAATAGCTAGCTCGAGATGATAAGAGACCAATCGATGCACGCTTGGAAGGCATTTTTAGTAATCGTATAAAAAGTAACTTTGCTAGTATAATTCATAATTAGGAATAACAGAAAATTTAAAAAAAACTAACATTCATCGTACGAAAATGACAAATGTATTTACAAATGAACAGATGTAAAAGAAAATGTAAACAAAGCAAATTAAAAGTTTAAACATATTTCTTCGAAAAATTGTGGAACGTCACCAATGAGCAGGTGAACGAAGCGAAAAAAGTGGGCGAGAAAGAGAAAAATTAAAATCTTCAAAAAAAATATAGGTAAAAAGGTGCACTACACTTTACAGAAACCTTGCTTATAGAGTAAAGAGAGTATATGCAACGTTTCAGGGCGATCCATTGGATAGTTTTTGAGAACATAAAATACAAGCAGACGTCGTTTCTGCTTCATATCTATCTATCTATCCATCTTTTTAATATATTATTATTATTTCGACTTGTTTTTTCTTTTACTGGCTTTACAAGGAGAAGTCTCTATAGAGTTACTCGTAAAATATTACATTTTTACTTAAGTATAAAATATTAAAATATTAGTTCAATGCGAGTGTTGTTCTGGGGGTCCTGCTTATTTTATTTTGATGATGTGTTCAGACAGGGACGAGCAGTTGGAAACGTGTAGAAAGTATTTCATGATCCGTTTAATGTCACTTGTGGCTAGGTTGCTCATGTAGTATCTAACATCCATTTAGCCATCACGACTGCACAATTTTATGTGATGCTCTTCCCTTTCTTGACTGAATGTATTGCAGTCGTACAGCCAGTGTACTATGTTCACTTTATCAATACTGCAGTAGTGACATGTGTGACTGCTTTCGAATTTGTAGATTGTTTCTTCTACAATTATCCTCGCTGAGTATTTATTCCTCAATTTTAGTTGCGCCATGAATTTTTTCATTTTTAGAGGTCAATTTCTGAGCAGCTATGAGCAGGTATTATGCCGAATAGGGTATTTGCATAAAAAAAAGTAAGGATATTTTTGAAATCAACATATATGAATTATCAATAAAAATTTTTTTTTTTAATTTTTCATTGCGTTTTTACTTAAAAATTTATTTTTTAAAAAATACAACTTTTCAAACGGCCGAGAACGCGCCGAAAGCGCCCAAAGCTGTGCGAGTGGACCGTGACGTCATACTTATCAGTAGATGCATATGGCCGATTCTCTGTGAAATCGAATGACCAAAAAATTTTTTTTTCTGCAAATATGAAAAACTTGCTGTTCCCGATGTCAGAAATGTCCCCAAATTTTATTAGAATTTTTGGGACCATCTATCACTCTTTTTCAGGGGCCCGAAGTTGGCCATTTTAGGGTTTTTTTGAAATTCATGAAAAATCACAAATATTAAAATAATTCCTGGATTAAAGTAGAATGATTCAAAGTAAAAGTGCCCAGCAACTTTTTTGTTGGAAATTGTCCAAATTTTCAGAAAAAAAATATGCCAAAGTGATTGGAACAATCTAGGTAAGTGTAAAGCAAAAAAACTGCCAAGTGGACATAAATGATGAAATCTAATCGAGTTCGAACCGGCCTTCCATTTCCTAAACTATGTAAAAAGCTTCCCAAAGATGTCAACTACTGCCTGATAAAGTTTTGTAATGGGCCTTAAAGTTTAACGCAATGTAGACAACAACGTGTGGCGAAAAACATGCAAAAAAGGCTGAAAATGGCTGTTTTTGGTGATTTTAGGCATTTTGGGCCTATTTTTGACCTTTTTTGCATGTTTTTTCGCCACACATTGTTGTCTACATTGCGTTAAACTTTAAGACCCATTACAAAACTTTATAAGGCAGTAGTTGACATCTTTGGGAAGCTTTTTACATAGTTTAGGAAATGAAAGTCCGGTTCGAACTCGATTAGATTTCATCATTTATGTCCACTTAACAGTTTTTTTGCTTTACACTTACCTAGATTGTTCCAATCACTTTGGCATATTTTTTTTCTGAAAATTTGGACAATTTCCAACAAAAAAGTTGCTGGGCACTTTTACTTTTGAATCATTCTACTTTAATCCAGGAATTATTTTAATATTTGTGATTTTTCATGAATTTCAAAAAAACCCTAAAATGGCCAACTTCGGGCCCCTGAAAAAGAGTGATAGATGGTCCCAAAAATTCTAATAAAATTTGGGGACATTTCTGACATCGGGAACAGCAAGTTTTTCATATTTGCAGAAAAAAAAATTTTTTGGCCATTCGATTTCACAGAGAATCGGCCATATATATGGTCAAATCTCAAAATAAAATTCCGTTTCGTTAACAAAAAAAGGTGAAATTTTTTTTTGCGTGCCTAGCGGCCCTGACCCCCGCAAATTGTTCATAGGACCTCCAGAAGTGAAAAAAAAACGCGTGAACATGAAATTTGAAAATAGTTAATTTTTTTTGGGGCACTTTGTGTTTTGGACGCCGAAAAGTCATCTTTTCACGCAAATACGACTTATTACTCGATTTCCAAGTCGTTGAAAAAGTATCAAAACTCATCTAAAAATTTTAACTGACCACTGTATTCGATAGGAAATTTTCTCAGCTTTCCGATGGTACTATTCGATTTTCCGAAATATCCATTTTTCACCGCGAAAATCGCCATCAAACTTGGGGGGGTAAATATGTCGAAAAACTCGGTGCGGAAAAAGTGAAATTTTTGGATAATTGTTGATTTTTCCTTGTGAAAATGAAATTTTTCAGAAAATCTAACTGCGCCATGAGAAAGCTGAGGAAATTTCCCATCGAAAGCACATCTTCATTTATTTTTTGAGCCGAATCACAATCCTATACAAACGTATTTTGACTGCCCTGTTCTCCGTTTTCAGCTTTCAGAGCGGTCTTGAGGTTTTTAGCGTTGCACGGCTCACTACAATCGAAATTCGCTCGTAATTAGACTCAAAAAATAAATGAAGATATGCTTTCGATAGGAAATTTCCTCAGCTTTTTCATGGCGCAGTTAGATTTTCCGAAAAATTTCATTTTCACAAGGAAAAATCAACAATTATCCAAAAATTTCACTTTTTCCGCACCGAGTTTTTCGACATATTTACCCCCCCAAGTTTGATGGCGATTTTCGCGGTGAAAAATGGATATTTCGGAAAATCGAATAGTACCATCGGAAAGCTGAGAAAATTTCCTATCGAATACAGTGGTCAGTTAAAATTTTTAGATGAGTTTTGATACTTTTTCAACGACTTGGAAATCGAGTAATAAGTCGTATTTGCGTGAAAAGATGACTTTTCGGCGTCCAAAACACAAAAGTGCCCCAAAAAAAATTAACTATTTTCAAATTTTATGTTCATGCGTTTTTTTTCACTTCTGGAGGTCCTATGAACAATTTGCGGGGGTCAGGGCCACTGGGCACGCAAAAAAAAATTTCACCTTTTTTTGTTAACGAAACGGAATTTTATTTTGAGATTTGACCATATGGGTATACAAATTACGTACAGCAGCCGACTGAGGTTATAAGTATGACGTCACAGTTATGCGGACCAATCAAAATCGTTTGTGGAGTTGAAAATAATTTTCGAATTTTTTTGATTTTTATTCTCGTATTAAAAATTACCTGACTGTTCAAAATT